CGATGAAGACCCAGTCGCCTTAACCCCTGGACACTTTCTGATAGGAGCCGCCCTTATTTCTCCTCCTGACCCTACAGAACTGGATTCCAAAACTTGTCTCAGTTCCAGATGGAGGCACGTGCAGCAAATCCGCAATCACTTCTGGTCTAGATGGAGTCAGGAATATCTCACTCAGCTGCAGCAACGCACCAAGTGGACGCGTGCTCAGCCCAACCTTCAAGTGGGAGAAGTAGTCCTAATCAAAAACGAGCTTCAACCTGCCACAAAGTGGCTCATGGGCCGCATCGTGCAAACCTTCCCAGGAGAAGATGGCCTGTGTCGGGTGGCAATGGTCCGCACGGCCAAGTCTGAACTTCGTCGGCCTGTCAGCAAGCTGGTGCCACTCACCGCTTCGCCAACAACCTCACTTCCAGCTAACTAAGGGTACCCTTCCAGGGCGGGTGGTACGCCCAGTGTCATCACTGAAGATTAGATATTACTCATTTATTGGCCATAAGCCCATCATTTTCTAACCACGTTTGTAATGGTAACTTAGTTTAGGCCAGTTGAGGCATTTCTTTTCTTTACCCGCAATGATTGTAAGCCGCGTTTCAAAATATTCATTCAGTTCTTACTTTAATTTTCATTAGCCTCTACTGGAACCGTAGTACTTTATTAATTAAACGCGCTGTAGGCGACGTTTGGCGGGCGGCATGTTGCAGCCGTTCTCTGTTTAAAGCCTATGGCCGATTGTAGTCTTGCTGCTCTGCTGCCTACTAGCTGAACAGTAGTGCCAATAGAAGGCAGAGCCGCTGCGCGACTCTCTTCAGCGAGGAGAGCCACGCCGCTACTGCTGCCCTTCTCGTTCCTTCTTCTCAGTTCGGAAGCCGAACAGTACGGACGTGTCGCACGCGAGCCAGCCACACACATAAAGTTATTCGGGCCCCTCGCCAATGTGGCCTTTTTCTTGATTTAAGAGCAGTTAGGGAGTATTTTTAATGAATAAACATTCATAATTAAACCAAAGAAGCAGCTTGTGATCATTGAGGTGACCTCTCGCATCCTCCTTTTCCTTACCACACCTGCCTGGACCCAGCGTGCTCAGCCCTAGCTACCGCGACTGAACCTTCATCAAAAGTGGCACCGGCGCGCACAATTTATTTAACAGAGTTGCTAGTAAGCGCCCCGTGTCATTGGGTAAATGGCGCTTTTGTTATTAAATTGAGCAATTAATTATTTAATACATTTGCCAGTAAGCAACCTGGGTCATAAATTAAATAATTAATTTACTATGCATAAAAGTGTTATCTGGGTTTCTGCGTCATGCCCCATTTAGTCCATTTGAATTTTCCGCCAAGTTATTCTATCACTTCTGAGATCCCTGGCATCAACTGATTGACAAAAAAGAATTAGGGTTCGTACACTAGTTACAGTAGGAGAGCACAACACGCATTACCTCTACACTCTATAGACCCTATGCCTTATGGCTATAGCTATATAGATTGCAGCAAACAAAACAGAACTTTTAAGTTTTAAAACTTTCAAAACTTCTAATTCTAAAAAGCAACTTTTATTAACAACCCTGGCTTCAGTGCCGTACATGAGAGCGAGCAGTCCATATTTTTCATATGTTTATGCTGTTTCACAGTGTACAACCGATAACCGTGTGTTCCAGTAGCGCTCTTCGACAACTTACCGATAAATTAAACATGACGCAAGATATCGCAAGACAAAATTAAGTTGTCGGAGGTCGGAGGTCGGAGAGCGTTACTGGAACACACCCTAAATTAAAAAATAACGACTTCTAATAAGTTTTTGTCGAGCCGTCGTTTACAAGTATAGTATGTCGTTTCTAGTCGACTTCAAGAGACGTTAGCTCGATTCTAAAAAGTCGATTCTTTTAAGTGAACCTTCGACTTAAGTCAGAGTCGACTTTTCCAACCCTACTGTAGCATATTTCTCTATCTATATATTCAGGGTCTATTTCGTAATGTGTATGCATAATTTTAAAAAGTATAGTTGTACTTTTGAAAAATCTTGTCCATAGTGAGTAGGTGCTTATCATATCAAGGATCTAATTCCAACAGCAGACATGGGTAACTGTTTAAACTGCATTGGAGGCGGGCAACAGGATGGCTCAAATCTTATACACAACGACTCGGATCCTGTCTTGTCAGTCGATAACTCCCGCGACATCCTCAGACCAACCTTGCCGTACAGTGTACATATATACGTATATAAACGTATACATATATATACATATATTTAAGTTTTATGTCTCTCCTTTTTTTTGAACCAGTGGATTTGTTTTTTTGTCATTGATCAGTTTAATTTTGTATAAACATGTACATATAATTGAATCTTTAATCACAGAACCATAGTCTTTTGTTAAATGTTGTACTCATGAATTAGCCATCTGATCCATTGCCCCCTTTAAGCTAATTATATTTTCTCTGTGTCCTAATATCATGTCCATATTATCTTTTGAAAGTGGTAGAAAGTTATATCATCCTGTTAACATTTAATAGCTCGTTATTTGTTTACCTTGTTATTAACTTCAATTTTCAAAACTTTCGGTATAATCTTATGCAACCAAATTTTTGTTTCGTCTGTTCTAAGTATGATATTTTATTTCTAGAATTTGGCATCTACTTATCATTCTTCAGCTCAGTTGAGAGAGCAACAGTTACAGTCATTAAACTTAGAAATTAACCATGGAATTGGCATAGCAGTTGGTTTAAGTACTGGAGGTGGATCAAGTATAAGTGATGAAGAGCAGCAGGTGAGAATTGCTAAGCGTCTGGGACTTATCCAGCATTTGCCTACTGGACTTTTTGATGGAGCTAAGAAAGGTGAATGTGTTATTTGTATGATGGAGCTTACATCTGGTGAAGAAGTGCGCTACTTGCCTTGTATGCACACATACCATACAGCTTGCATAGATGATTGGCTACTACGATCTCTAACTTGTCCTACTTGTATGGAACCAGTAGATGCAGCACTCATCAATTCTTATCATCCAACCACTTAATGTTGTCTAGTTGAGTGTTTTTTAATAGCGTGTTATGGATCATTGAACTACAGATAAATGACACTGTTACGGAATTTTTATGAAAAAATCCGCAATTGTTTAAAAAAAAAATTTATCATGCCTGGGGTATACTTATGCTGAATGTGAGGTGTAACATAATCATTTAACTGAAAATATCCGTTTTGGATTATTTTAATTATAAAAATAAATGAGTTAAATTGTTTAATACTTGATTATAAGTATGTTAAATTTAAACGCATATTGTGTATTGAAAAAAGAAACCAAAATTGCTGATTTCATTGTTTCAGATGCATACTCTAATGTATATTTAACTTAACAAGACATAACGAATTGCAATATTCCCATATCCAAATTATTTAGTGTGTTAAGTGGCTTTAAAATACCAAGTAATCAATTTTTACAGAAGCCAAGGTTGGTTTTATTTGTTCATTCAACAAATGGTGAAAACATTAAAATTTTGTGTATGTTTTTTTGTTTATATAAACGTTTGATCTGAATAAAGATTCAGCTTGTGTTTTTGTCAAAGGAAGTACTAGTTCAAATTTTGATTAAAAAAAGTGGGTTGCAGAACGTTTGGTTCAATTTTTTAGTTTTTCTAAAAAATACTTTTTTTAATTTTGTAGTGGCAAAAATTTAGACACTTAAAATTAGATCCCGCTTATAATATATATGCGTTATTCTACCAAAAATGATATATTTCATGTCGATTACAACGTCGTGTAAGAAGATATTTATCTAGAAACTTTAAATCCTTAAGGAGTATCAACTGCTCAATGCACAACAGAATTCAGATCATGAAAAAACATTGCTTTAGTTTAAGATGCAAAAAGGGGCTGAATACGTGTTACGGGCTTGTGTTTCACTCATAAATTTATTGTTTTGACGACGCCTGGAATCAAAATGCGGATTTTGTAATTTTTCTTCGTCGTGGAATTTAAAAGTTATCAACAACATTCTCATACCTTAAAAAAAAAAAAAAAAAAAAAAAAAAAATTGTATCCAAGACTTCGATGCTGTTGAAGTTGCGGTACCAAAATCTGAAAAATGTAACATTTCTATGTAAAACGATTTCAAAAATGTACGTAATTAAATTTTGGGGTTCGGATTTGGACGTTTTGTATTCTATGCAGATGTTACAGGAATTTTTTCCCTATTTTTCCATCCTTATAAGCCAGTACTACAGACTGTCGAATTTGAAAATTCTGTCTCCTCAAAATAAAAACTCCAAGTCCGTAACGCTAAAAAATGTTATGTATCTGTATGAAGCGTTTATTTATTGACTCAGAAGGTTGCGGGTTAAAATGTAGCTGTTTTGCATGTGACATAAGTGCAGTGACAAAGTAAAATTTGTATTTGGTGTTTTACAATTTCTATTGTTCGACGCATTTATAAGAGCCCGTAATACTTTATATCGAAAGCTCGTAACGCTGAAGATTGTCGTGTACCTTTTGAAGCGTTAGATTGTCTCATAGAGATATAAGAATAGAGCAAGCGAATCCTACCTACTCCAATGCTTTGATGTGTCACGCTGTGCAAGAGAGATCACTGCACGCAGAGGCCCTCTCTATCTCTGTCTAACCAGTCACCTATATACATTCATACAGTGTATTATGTATTTATGTATATGTATAGTGTAACTGTCATATATCTGGACACTGGACGTCTGTCGGCAACTCTATGCTAACTATAACGTAATAAATATGTTGTAATAACGAGTAGGTATGTTCTTTTTGCATAATCAGGAAAGAGTATTTTTATAGCAAAAAAAAATACAAAAATTAATGAAAAGGCAGCTTATGGCCAGTAAAGTCTAAAAAATATAAAATTTGAACAATTTCTTTTTAATTTTTATGCATTACGTCTTACAAATGTTTTATTGCCCTAAGAATATAGTCATTTTATTATTAATCATCCGAACTCTTCTAGTTTCATCGTTAAACAGACTAGATTCATGCTTAAGTCTTATGTCTATGTACGCTTGGACTGTCGTTATGATCAATTGGCTGCGATGATCTTGTAAAGGCTCGTGTTCCATAAAATGCTCGCTATTATCTAAAACGCCTATCGGTAAATTTGCTAAAGTTGTTTGTATCAAATGTTCATTGATGTAACTTTTGCATAAATCGTTGCTTTGGCGTATGGATTTTTCTGTTTTCTTACAAATATAAATGACATCATCAGATGCAAAATGCAATCCATCACGATTTTTCAATACTGATAATTTTGATTTGCACTCACTTTGAGATCCATCAACGAGATCGCAACATTTTTGACAATGGATTTTTTTTTTCAGTATTCTTACAATGTAACCAGCAGTGTATTTAATAATTTCGTCCGAGTACTCTGCACACGAGCACCCTGACGACGCTGTAGCATAATTATGTTCCCAGTGGAAAATAGTAGTTTTCCTACGAGTTTGAAAAGTCTCTGTTTGCGAACCGAGAGGTTTGCGGCCCGAGCCGAAGGCGAGGGACGTAACGAGGTTCGTAAAGGAGACTTTTCGAACGAGTTCCAGAAAACTGCTTTTTCGCCCGAGGAAGTACCAGCCTCCCAAAACCACCCGAGGGCGGAAAAATATTTTTTTCCAAGGAGATCTTTTATTTCTGAAACACTGATGTCTTTGTTATCACAAATTATTTCACTTGTTGATGGATTCGTTGGTCGCTTTTTATTTGTACTATCCACGAAGTTGTCCTCAGTTATAAGAAAAGTTGTATTCAAAGGTGTACAATTTGCAGAGGAAGACACGTTAACGTTTAGCTTATGAATTAATAATTTGTTGTAAGCGGACAAATACTGAGTTGCTGTCGGATTGTTGTTAAATCCATTTTTACGCCTTATTAACGAAAAGATCATCTCAATGTGGTCTTGTGATAATTTATAACTGAGGAAAAAATCTACATAATCGTTGTCTAGTAAACATTTGGATAAATTATACAAGTTCGTTAAACTTATTACAAATCCAACAAAACCAGTATTGACTGATTTGCTCTTCACAGCTGTAATTCTAATTCTGTTGACTGTATTACATTTTTTGGACTTTGCTTAACAGGAACATCAATTTTAATCTTCTCGATGTAATCTATGAAGTTATCTATTTTTAGTTTTATTTCATCTATGTTGCCTTTGTTGATACTTAAACGACCCGGTGTTTTGCAAAACTTGTTTTTTGCATTCAATAGATCGAAAATGTCATTCGTAATTTTATAAAATGTTCCAGTATAAGATGCACCAAAAAACTGTGGATCTTTTATATCCATTTCCAAGCAATTCAAAACATTTTATGTACTACTATTCGCTACGTGCACAATTTTGAAGCAGCGCCATCCTAGGGAAAAACGAGAACTATTGGTCTGACACAGCAGAAGGCAATATTCTATATTCGCGATATGTGCTTGATACCTATAGGAACCAAGTAGGTACCTCGATAGATACACGAAAGGTTCTGTGTTTTCTATATCACGAATTAATACAATGTCTCAAGTGGTACAATCCTATGTGAATATCTAAGGACGAAATTTGTACTACAGGCACTACAAACGCTTGATTATTACTTCATCACAAGTCCGTGTACTGTGTGATACGTAATACGTTTTATTAGTTTGCAATCCTTTTGTCAACACAGACCCCCTCTGACCAATCAGAGAGCTCCGTTAGCCCTATACCAGCATGTTCACAGTTCAGACAGCATGTACACACGTCCATATACGATACGCTTAGAGGATCGGGCCCCAGCTAAAAACTCTAAGAAATACACAGTATCCAATGTATTTCACTGCGTTTTTTAATGAACATGTCTGAGTAAAACATGTACACACTACTCCTAATTTTATTAAAAATTTAATCCTTAGAATGGTTGGCGATGTATAAACACATAACTTTCTGATGATAGTAATGCTTAGCAGTTTGCTAGCAGAAGACAAACCTATCGTTTAGTTTCACATATTAGCACAGGTATTGCTGCGATCGCTTTTTCAGCTTGTGCACGTAGCGAATACTCAAAACTTGGGCTGCTAAGAAAGCTTTCATCTTTTCTCTGTGAAAATCAACGTGTCTTTTTTTAACTTTACAAGCACAACGCAGTCTCTCATTTTGTTGTTTCTCATCCAACATTTTAATAAATTTCCAATCCACGTACTTATCATGATCGTAAATCAGAGGTCCTTTAATTGCGAAATAGTTTCTAATAAGCTTCAGACAGTGGCACGGGTCGTAAAAGATGTAAATCTGGTGCGAGTCAGTTGGATGCTGGAAAAATGGTTTGAATGAATTCTTCTTTTTATAATCAAGTTGAGGACCTAAAGCCTCGCAAGCAGTTCTATGAGCAGGATCTTCGTCAAACGCTAGACTAACGACAGTTACTTCATTTGCTTGTAATTTAATTAATAAGTCTCTAATCAAAATTGATTTTTCGACTCCATTCAGCGAGCTTATAAGATAAGTAGTGTGCAACTGGGATTTTGAAATGGCCATTGATATTGACAAGCATGAAAACTAAAACTTTACTGGCAATCTTTTGTTTTCCTTTTTTATCCAATTCCTGCAATTGACCTCCAAGATCAACAAATACCTCCCACGAGTGCGTTACTTTATCCCATTCTCTATGTTTCTTTATGTGCATTTCGTCAAAAGTTAAGTTGAAAACTACACGGAAAGACCTTTTTCATTTAAAATCCCCTACTTCAATATTTGATCACAAGAAGTACTAGACCAAGGTTATATTTATTGCTTATTTACACAGAAATTTTTAGTCTCACCTTTAGTGATCTTAAATTACCTACTGAGTATACTGATTTTAGGACATCAGTACGACTATTTATTGGCGGTGGTACGGTTTTTTCCCTTACCATCAGTAGCCGTGAAAAGTATAGCTTCTTGCCTTTTTATTCCAATGCCTGCTTAACAAGACCAGATACATTTCCAATTGCATCTTCTGATACACCAGGTTTGTATTGTTTCTTACAAATCCACTTGTCGAGAGTTTGTGGGCATGGTAAGCAATTTAAAAAACTACGCCTAACTGCTTGGTACGCTGAGGGAGAATAAAAATGGAGTGTACGTGCAAAAGTTTTTAAGTGTGGAGGGAAAGTCTGTGTTTTTTGATTTTCTTTTATTCGAATGATAAGTTCCTGGATATGTGGTGGTAAATCCTACAATAAAAATTACCTCTTGTTAGCTTGTAAAATTTATTTTGCAAATACAAAATTCAATAATCATTTTGAAGATGATGATTATCAGTAGCTCACTATACATTCTGGATTTGCAAACCAAAATTTTTTGTGATTACTACCATTCTTTAAAACATACATAAAATACTGCGTTTCAAAGATTTATTGCTTTTCTTTTACATATTTTTTATCATGAAGTTTTTTTCTGCAACAAATTTTGAAATGGATACAAAATAAATCATTTTCAGAAATAACTATAGAAATCATAAATTTTTTAGTTCATTGATTCCTCTTACAAAGTAAAAGTCGATTATTTGTACTTAAAAAAAAATAAAAATACTTATTCTCGAAAAATAAAATAAATCTTTGCAGAAATGTATAATACGATAACAATCTATAAAAAACAGTATAAAAACTACTAAACGACCTGTAAGTATTGTGCAGCATGTGACTCATTTTTTTCCTGTAAAGACTTAACCATTTCTTGAAGACTGCGCACTTTTTTATTTCTGCGTGAATTCTCCCTGCGTATCGCAGCCTGCTTACGTTATTTTGATGAAATTACTTCAACAAATCTGGACCACGATGCATCCGATGAAAAGTCTTGCCTTGAAAACAATTCTGTTCGAACACCATCTGTAAGCCTGACCTGTTTTGTTGGCTGCGTTTCAGTGTGCTGCAATTTTCTAAAATTTAATTTCACAATTATATATACTTCAAAAATAGAAGATGACAAAATAAATGAACTGTATATATTATTCCAAATTCGTATGGATTAATAATGATTGGTTTTCAAAATATGTTTCTCATCTTTTACGATTGTTTGGATTCTCAACATCACAGAAGTTTGTAGGTGCATAAGGTACAGTTTCGGTGTTTACTATTTTATCTGTGTATTACTGTTAAGAGTGAAACTGGAACTGTTTTCCCTATTTACAACAGTGCAAGACATCTACCCGGTTGAGAGTGACTGATAAAACCGTATAAAAAAATATTTAACTGTATCCATAGTGTGCATTTGCACCTGGAGAACCACATAAAAACATATTATAAGCTAATAGAAAGAGGCACATATGATTCTGGATGCCAATACGTATTGGCTCATAAAACCAGTTACGAGGAAATTGATTGAGATTTTATGAGGACTAACATATTAAAAAAATTAATTTGAGTGAACTAATAAGATTTTAAAGGAAATGCCACAATAATATTTAATGTATAAGTTTTTACTTGAAATGTCTAACTAAACATTCATACAAGTGTATATAGGGCAGGGATGGGAAATTGCTATGAAAAGGTATTTATGACATGTCACGTGTCAAATATGTCATTTATGTCAAAAATGTAATAAATGACACAGACGTTTGGAACGTGTTTCGGGACGCGTTCGAATATTATCGTTTGTTTCACAATAATGCAGTTTGAACTTAATACTAAATAAAACAGCATGTAAGTATAGTGTTTGTGTGGAGGTCTTCCTTTGTCACTCATTTTACGACAAAATTTTTAATTCCGCTTGCCTTAAACC